AGAAACGAACTTTTCAATTGCGCGATAACGAGAAACTTCTCCGAAACGCATTATCCCCGCAGCATTATTTCGAGATCGCTAGGTAATTTCGTTTCCCCGGCAACTCTAGCTGCCGCTAGTTGCCGGTTCCCGACTCAAATTCTAAATCGAAAGATCCAAGTGAACGTTTCTAGGATACGAATCTTCGGCGCGGAGAAGATGTACGGACACCCTTGGGAGCTGGGGGAATGTACGTATGTAGAAGGGAAAGCAGGGACGTGTACTCGTTACATTATACGCGGAGAATACCCAGGGAATATGATTCCGACTGCAGCCAAGGGGACGTTGGAAAGTAGAAGGTCGAGCGGAAATCTGGATAAAGGTCTGCCGTGTCGGTGAAGGTGTGCAGGAGGTACGGCTGAACGCGGTAAATAAAAGCAAGGGAATAGGGGCGTCGCGCATAGACGGAGAAGAAAAGTAGAGGACTCACCCGATTTCTCGTCGACGGTCGAAGCGATCCCGGCGACGTACGAAACAGCCTTTGTTAGTCCAATGAGCAACAGTACACTCCACATGTTCTCTCCTTGTTCCTTGTTAACCTTCGTCACGAATCTACTAATTCGTTCGGCTCACTTGGAGGCGAAGCAAACCACGAGAATGGCGTCGTTCCTATATCGCCGAGCCGTTACATGAGTCATCTTCACGCAGTACCCGATTCACTCGCGACCATTCCCACACTGAGTCTCTCTTCGGGTGTCTCCGCGTCTTCCGCGATCATAGTAACCGACTGCCGTCGTCCAGTCACGCACCATAGGCGATTTCATCGAAAGACGCGCGACCTTTTCTTCAAAAACAAACGTGCGATTGTACAGTAACGTGTAACGATCGCGTCGCGCGTGCTTCCAGTCTACGACGCAGCTATAACATCGTCCTCTCTGGTTAAACACTAATTAAAGTCGACCGGCCGCGTTACCACAACCCCCTTGTCCCTTCCCTTTTCCTCCACCTTTTCATCCACTCTACGGACGTTATTAAACCGTTGGACACGCGTACTGGCCTCCGCACCGCTAGAAAACCTGCCGCACTTTCGACCTAACCGCGCGCCACTGCCGCCAATAACCTGCAACGACGAGCATGATACCCGCAATCACCGGTGACCATGGTATGTCCACCGAGGCCGCAGAATTCACCGCGCCGCGCCGCGCCGCCGGCCAACCTCGTTCGGAAAATAACCTCGCTCCCCGGTCACGATGTCCTCCACAGATCCTCCTGCTCCTTAAAGGAAGATCCACTCCTCCGTGGTTGAACGAACGAGGGGCGAGAAACTTCCGGAGCAGCTACTCCGACAGGTATTTTCCAACTTAAAGCCCGCGAGAACGGTTAGAAAAGGGAGCGACACCGTATCGTGGCTTTTCCAGCGAGCCATTTCGACCGGTAAATGTCAATTCCGATTAACCATTCGTTCGTTGACCTCAGCCGGTGATCCGAGGGGACAATGAAAAGAGAAAAACCAAGCACTGCGGAGATGCTGGATCACGTCGGGTCACCACAGATTTTCGGTTTGCCTGGAATAGGTCCAAGCAAGGAGGGGGGCCTGCAATCACGCCAATGGCCGCGTATTCTCCGAGATCGATCTCCGCGAAGATTCGGCGAGGGCACAACTGTCACTGGATCACTCGATCGTCACCGTAGTCCTGTAATCCAACTGGCGTGGGGATCGACTCTTGGACCGAACACGGTTGTCCTCCACTTGGCGCGCTTTTCCGCGCGATCGTCCGCGGACCACGGGATTACTCTCCGCGAAAAGTTCCACGAAAATCTACCCTTCCCTCCCTATCTTCGGGAACAGGCAGGAGATTTGGACACGTGCGCGACGCGTCTGCCAGCGTGTTCTCTCACTTCACCCTGTTCCAGCGGAGGCGGTAAACGACGGAACGGAACGGCAGCTATCCCCGCGTGCGGTCGGCTCGCGGAATTTTTCGTTGATTCGGGGGAGGAAGAGAGGGGGTGCAGAAGGCGCGCGAAGGGTAGCCCGACGGCGCAGGTCGACGCGACGCAGATACACGTGGTCCTCGACCGACGGCGGACGGCACACTGACGGAGAAGACGAGCAAACGGCGCGGCGACGGACGCGCAGCCTGCAAAGCCTCCCGAGGAGGTGGAGGTGGAGGTGTCGGAGGAAAAGCCCCGGGTGGGACGAAAGGGACTCGACGTGTACACCGTGCATACCCCCCCGATCCTAAACCAGAGAGGGATGTTTGTCGTACGCGAAAGGACCGTGCATTCCGATAATACGCACATGGCGAATCAGAGATGCTCCGTGCCTCCGGGTTCTTTCGCTCGCTGGATCTTCTTCGAGGGCTCTGAAAGCAAGTATTTCGCCGCCTTGTACGCGTTATCAATTGTACGACCGTAAAGAAAATTCGATTTATTCGCCAACTCGATACCGGTCGATCGCGAGAACCCCGGCAAACAACTGTGGTGGGTGGCACGTCCGTGTACTCGTACATCTCCGAAAACAATCGCGATAGGTACTTTGTACACGGAAGCCGTAGCAATGTGTACAGACCCGTGTTTTCTTTTCGAATAGAATATTTCCTCGATTCGATAACCGACGATCGATTTCCCGTGCGTAAATATTCCGTCTCTCCCACCTACACGTACCTACGTTTCTCCACCGCGTGTTGAAAAGTGGCACGAATGGAACAATAATCAGGGCAGCTTTCCCTCAACAACCATCCTCCAGTTTAAACAAAGCAAAACAAAGTTGGTCTCGAGTCGAACAAAGGTTTCGGCAGCCGCGCGTTTACTATTACAGATGCTACAATACACGTCCGTGGCCGAGTGTTTGCTTTCTGTTCAGTGTCGAAGACGGTTTATAGTGGTTTAAGAGTGCTGGAAGCGGGGGTTCGGAGGGAAGACGGGGAGGAGATCGAAATGGGGTGAGAGACCTCCGGGCGAAAGAGGCGGATGAGGTAGCAGATGCTCTCTGACTGGTGTCACGGATCATGGTCATCTTAAAAGCTC